TCCCTTTCTCACTACTACCCCCTCACCTCCATCCATGATTTTGGTAACAAGTGCTGAACTATGGTGTGGCAAGTGCATCTTAGAAACTTTTTGAGCTCAAAGTTTGTGGATTATACATCAGGCCGGATTGCACATGAATAGTTTATGATTAAGTGCAGATTTCCAGGTGTTCTGGCACATTCAAGGCAAGACTGTCCATGTGCTTAGCAACAACTGCTGCAACTTTTATGTGAACAAACAAGGAAGATTTGAGCAGACTGCAAAGGGTCAATTAAGATATAGAACTTGTGCTTTTGGACCTTGGTTCCTCTCAAAGTCTATCACCTACTGAAGTTCTAAAATACCAGTGGCAGCTCATTTTTCTTTGAGAAGTGTCCCTGTGGATGCTCCACTGTAGGTGCTTCAGCTTATAGTCAGAGATTTACAACAGCAGTATTCACAAATATGTGCCCATTGTAAAAAGCTGTTGGCCTGATCTCTCAAGCCATGAGACCTGCAGTTCAAGCTTCTCCTAATGGAGAAATCACACAGGCCACTCTTGGACTCTGAGGCTACGTCTACACTGCAAGCCTTTTTTGAAAGAGGCTTTTTCGAAAGATACCTTAGAAAAAGCTTCTTTCAAAAAAGAGCATCTAGACTGCAACCTCTTCTTTCGAAAAAGTGAGCCGCTTTTTCGAAGGAGAGCACCCAAGCAGTCTGGATGCTCTCTTTCAAAAAAAGCCCCATTTGCATTCAAGAATGCATTTTTTCGAAAGAGCACTTTCGAAAAAAGGCGTTCTTCCTCGTGAAATGAGGAGTACTGCCATCGAAAGAAAAGCCGCATTCTTTCGATTTAATTTCGAAAGAACACGGCTGTAGTCTAGACGCAGGTGAAGTTTTTTGAAAAAAGGCTACTTTTAAACCCTGCAGTCTAGACACAGCCTGAGTCTCTCACTCTATCTTGCCACCGATCCCTGGAAAAAGTCTCAGACCAAGGGTGTCTCCTCCTGTTTCGAAGAACCTGGTTTAAAAACAAACAAAAAAAAGACGACCAAACGTAAGCTGCAGTCCTCCCCTCAAGGAGACAAGCAACTCTAAAAGAAACAGTCTCCAAGGACAAAACCCATCTCAGTACCATCATGGTCCACTTCGGATTGACAGATGCTGGGCACTTCTGGTATAGACTAGTTCTTCTTCAAGTGATGTCCCCATGGATGCTTCACTGTAGGTGTCAGGTCACCCCAGGACCACAGATCAGAGTTTTGCACAGCAGCAGCAGGTTGGGCTGTGCATGTGCACCAGGAGCCATGTGCCGTTCACTCCTCTTTCACGCAAGCATCCCAACCCCTCCTCAAAATGCAGGACAATGTAGCACTTTAAAGACTAACTAGATGGTTTATTAGATGATGAGCTTTCGTGGGCCAGACCCACTTCCTCAGATCAAATAGTGGAAGAAAGTAGTCACAACCATATATACCAAAGGATACAATTAAAAAAATGAACACATATGAAAAGGACAAATCACATTGCAGAACAGGACGGGGATGCGGGGGGGGAGGGAGGAAGGAAGGTAAGTGTCTGTGAATTGATGATATTAGAGGTGGGGAGAGTGGGATGTTTGTGAGTTAATGGTATTAGAGGTGATAATTGGGGAAACTATCTTGGTAATGGGTGAGATAGTTCAAATGTTTGTTCAGTCCTTTTTGGAAAGTGTCGAATTTTAACATGAATGACAGTTCAGAGGATTCCCTTTCAAGTGCAGATGGAAAAGGTCTTTGTAGCAGAATGCAGGTGGTTAAGTCATTGAGAGAGTGTCCTTTCTGGTTAAAATGGCAAGAAACTGTTTTTTCTTTGTGATCTTGTCTGATATCTGTTTTGTGGGCATTAATCCTTTGGCGAAGTGTCTGAGATGTTTGTCCAAGGTACATAGCAGACGGACACTTTCGGCACATGATAGCATAGATTATATTTCTGGATGCGCAGGAATGTGTGTTCTTGATCTTATAACTCACTTGGTTAGGTCCAATAATGGTATCAGCAGAATGAATATGTGGACAAAGCTGGCAACGGGGTTTGTTGCAAGGGGAGGTACCAGGGTTGGTATTAGTGTGGTATGTCCTGTGGTGGTTGGTAAGAATCATCTTGAGGTTAGGTGGTTGTCTATAGGAGACTATGGGTCTGTCTCCCAGAGCCTCTTGGAGTATGGTATCCTGTTCCAATGTAGGCTGTAGTTTATTGATAATGTGTTGGACAGGTTTAAGTTGGGGGTTGTAGGTGATGACAAGTGGTGTTCTATTGTTGGTTTTCTTGGTTCTGTCTTGAAGTAGATGGTTTCTAGGTATTCGTCTGGCTCTTCCAATTTGCTTATTTATTTCTCTGGGTGGGTAGTTGAGGTTTATAAATGCTTGGTAGAGAACCCCTCCTCAGTTTCTTTTGTTGCCACCTTTGGCTGCAGACAGAACTTCAAGCTGCTCTCCTCAGAGAGCTACTTCAGAATTTTAACTGCATCAGTCAGTCCTTTTTCTCCTTAGTTTAACATTTTCAGCCTTTTTAACTTTACTCACTGCTCCTACGATTTCCTTTTTAGTCCATTTTTTTTTAAATGTGAAGGGGCAGAAAGCAAGCCCAAAAGCTGCTGCGGCCTAGCCACCAGTGGCCAGAAGAACCAATTTCTTAGCTCCACAT